AACGCTGTAACTTTTACAATGTCAGTCAATATCATCTTTTAAATGTTAATTGACCTGAAGAACATTCACTTTATACACTTTTATAAAGTATTAACCTGCATCAAATTCACATAAGCCAAGGTAACCAAACAGATTAAGTAATTAAGTTGTTCTCTTTTTTTTTTCTTTTACAGAGGAACAGGACATCGTCAACGCCATTTTGTTTCTATTGAGTGACAACGCAGGAATGATCAACGGTGTAAACCTACTAGTTGATGGAGGAATAAGYGTCCATTAGTGAATATACTTTGTCAAATATTGACAATATTGATAAGTTAGATAAGTTATGACATAATAGGTGATAATAAAGTTTTGGAACTTTTATCAAATCTCTTTGATATCGTAAATCTAACTTGAGACCCCCTGCAATGTTTCCTTCCTTCACACGGATCTAAAACAAGTTGAAGCGAACAAAAATTTCAAATGAATGATGATGTCTTCCATTTCGTCTTTATTCTATAGTCCAGAAATANTATAGTCTATGGTTTTTGGTCGAAAATGGGTTATTTTTTGATGATTTTGATGGGCTATAGTCTATGGTTTTTGGTCGAAAATGGGTCATTTTTGATGATTTTGATGGGCTATAGTCTATGGGTTTTGGTCGAAAATGGGTTATTTTTGATGATTTTGATGGGCTATAGTCTATGGTTTTTGGTCGAAAATGTTTTTTGTTTAATGTTATGAGAATTTTATGTGAACATTTTTATTGAAATATTATCTGATATTTATTCAGTTTCTGACTAAGGAAATATGTTCATGAGACTAATGATGAGATTTATTAAAGTGCACCCTCCCCTCCCTAAAAGGACTTGAAACATTGAATCCAACATTGAATTCAAGATCTAATTCTATTGCGAAGAAAGTACAAAGTGTCTTTAACAGTCATTCATTAAACGTTGTTATTCAAATGTCAATTTATCTAAATCGATGCTTTTTCTGGCCTTTTCTACACTTATTCGATATTGTAGCTTAACTATATCGCTCCATTCTCAAAAACGTGTAGSTACGGACAAGGCCTCGATATATCTATAGTGACTTATTCGCAATGTTTCAACACATGCGAGATTAASCTTTGGAAACMGACATGCGTTTTCTATCTCWGTATATCTTTTTTCGGGGTGGACTCCCTAATATAAAAGGGTGGGGGTCCTCGTCGGAAATTCTGAAAATGACCCCTAAAAGGGACGTGTATTGTTAGATGATGGGCGTGGCAGTGCCTACATTTCTTTTAATGATGGCTTAGACCTCGTTGTATAGCTTAAAAGCGACCACAAAACTCAGTTGGTTTAAATTCTCGTCATTATCACCCTAAGCGGGACCAAAACACTGATTTCAAACCCTAAAATGGACGACGAGGACCCCCGCCCTTTCTTATTGGGAAGTCCCACCCCCTCTCCCCGATATCTTCCTTGAGTAAGATTGACGGTCATTTCATCTCAAAATTGTTTCGATGCAAACACCTAAGCTAATCCTATAATCATTATAAATACAGTGGAACCTTACTAATCCGACCACTGAAGCRACAACAAAAAGTGCCCGTATTAGCGGGGTTGAAATGTATGGTGGATTAAGTTGCTTAKAACTAATACGTTTGCCTTATGACGGCCTATTAAATGACCGTAGTAACGGGGTTTCGCTGTATTTATTGTACACTATTTCTGTCGTGTGCTATTAAGATTTGAAAGCTGATCTATCCATTTTGTCTGGAATCTTCGGTGCTCCATGACAAGTTCTTTTCTCTTTCTCTCAATGGTGGTGAGGTCTTCATTGGCGAGTTTTTCCTCAATTTGAGATGATCCCTTACTTGGGGAAGAAAAACCGCGCAAGCGATTTAAAAGTCGATGGAATCCTACATAACATAGAGAAAAAMWTAGTATAAAGATGACGTAATACATGCATCAAGAGTTTTGGAGAACAGTGCGTCCGTCATCTTGAAAAGTTGGGCTGGAATCACTAAATTATAAYTCCTAAAAAATTMAAAAGTTCTAAGCTGATTTGAAGTTAATATAATACGATATAATGATAGATTAGTTGACTTGCGAAATGTGTTCTAAACGCACAATAGCACAACATATTGATTCGGGTCTCACTTTTCAAGACGGCGGACGCATTGTTACCCGAAACTCCTGATGCGTTTATAGAATTGAGGGTTTGGTTAGAAAAGTGTTGTGATGAAGCCTTGCCAAGTCAGTATGCGTTTCCAGTTAAATGTTTGTAAATTCAACGCTCAATGTCTCCTAAAYTGTTCACTCCAATTTGCTTTTAATGTTCAAATAACAAACAAGATTGTTTTAAGCATTTACATCTAATTTTCGGCTAATTTTAAGCAACCAAGAGACAATGTCAGAACATAACATGTATTTTTGAACTGTTTTAATTCGACAGGACCTAATAATTTTAATAATAATTTGACGTAGTGGCCGTATTAAGTGGGTGACTGGTCGTAATACGGGGTTTCGCTGTATAAACGTTCGTGTATTCGTACCCTCTTTATGTCGTCTGTATGCRAGTTCCCAGATCAAACCAATCACGACAAGGCTTCCCACGCATGCGCAACCATATTGTATCACATCSGTGAAGAGACCCTCCTGGTAGAACAGAAGGCCTGCTGCTTCAACACTGTAGTCTGATTGGCTACCTTTTCTCTGCCGGAAGTAAAATCAATCAATAAATAAATCGTTAATTAAGGTGGCTTCCTACAGTTGTTTTTCGACCAYACYTCTCATTTTAAATTCGCTTTTTGAAAATCTTGCTATGMACCGATKTGTTTCGTGTTTGGACCAGTATTAAAGCATTGACCAAAGTTTTGTTTGGCATAATATTTAGCTCTATCAATGTTACCTAGGCAACGGAATTTGCATTTTGTCGAAATTCGTTTTCACAAAATATCTCAAAAAATTGATGAGATCTAGAAAAGCGGTAGACATCATCATTAACTTCAAACTATTGTACAACGTTTTGGAATAATTGAAAACAAATTCATCTGTTCGATTTCGAGTAATATGCAAAAATCACATCCATTTGTCAATACGGTCATCCCACCTGTACGAGGTCTAGTCCCCCCCCCCCCCCCCCCCGAACTTAAATCTCACCTGTGACAAAGGTCTCAGCTGTTTTGAAATGCTGCCAAATGTTTCCTGGCGATAATTCTTCATGTATTTCCTGATACAAGTCTCGGTTTTTGTGTTTCCCGAGGGTAGAACCATCCCATAGCTGATTCTATGATCGATGGTCGACTCCAGACGAATTGTCTTCTCGGTTTCAAAGAACTTCGAAAACCTCGTTAAGGCGTAGTTATCGATCAGCAGTCCGTCGATGTCGTGGGCCTTGAGCGCCTTTGTCATCTTCGAGGGATGCTTGAAACCTGAGGGACAAACGATAGCGACGTTTACTTGAATTTCTAAAGACCTGTTTTAAACGTTGAGTCGCACTTGAAGATAAATACTTGAAGTCTTCCATTATCACCTCACATTTGATTTGAACTCGACATTTGTAAAATTAGGCGTTTTTCAATTGATCCGAAGTTAACACTTAATGAAATGAGAAAAAAATGATGAGTCGAAAAAGAAAGGGAAAGAAAAAGATGTGCTTCTAAAATTATGCGTCTCAAATGGATCGATTGTAAGAAGTTTAAAGATTAGAAAGTCAGAAAGATAAAGTAAGGAATATWATATTGAAAATAATAGAATAAGTAAAAAGAAGGAAACAGAAAGTGGAAAGATGCACAAGGAASGGAKGGAAAAGAACMAGATATTATACTGCAACGTYKCATGGATTTACTGAAAGGTTGAAGCATRTGGCGATAGGTCTTTTATCATTTGGACACAAACAAACTAAGTAAGCAACTGGATGAAATTACCTATCATAAATGCACCCATTTGCACTCCAAGACGAAACTCCTCACTTCCATCCACAGCACCAATCTAAAATCACAAAGTTCGCGGTCAGGGTTGCGCGTAATAGGAATCTTTCGAGCGAAAGTTGTCCACGCAAACAACCCAAGCGCAAGAGCGCAAGGCGCCTGAACACCATTTGAAAGCCGACACATCGCAGGCCTAATCCTTAGCGCAAACCCAAACGCAAGAATCTCACAATTTTCTTAAACTTGTGTTTGGGTTTTGTTTTATCAAGCTTTGGTGGTACATTGGTGAAAAAAAAGACGCAAGGCAGCCAGTGACGTAAATCGTTTTGTCGCAATTCCATGATTCCCATAAGATTTCAATTGATAAGGTCGTACTACGAAGACTAGTATTCTCAATAAACGTCAGGTTTTATRTGCGTAAAGGACTAAAGATTTTAGTTTAAACCTGAATCAATGACTTCAAAATGAAATGATATAATTAAATAAATCTATAAGTAGAATCTGTCAGAGGTTTTCCATTACAAACAAATAATAATATGAAAAATTGATTCTTGCGTTTTGTTCTTGCGCTGGCTTGCGTTAGTTTTCACATAACATTTGTCTGTTGTTTAGCTTGCGCTGACTGGACTTGAATTGGCGTCGCAAAAAAAAGTGACCCGCAAGCTTTATTAGACAGAGCACGTTAACGGTACAACAAACCTTGGCGCCATTGATATTGAAGTAAGGCTGTGTGTTTGCTGTTACTGTAGCTGTGATRAGAGCTGTGAACGTCGCCACTATGTTGATCCCAACAATGATCCATAACAAGCAAAATAACCGWCCTGGTATGCTCTTTGGTGCCTTGTCACCATACCTATACCAAACGACATGACGATAAGCTTTTTTCCCGTTTAATGCRAGCGACCGCTGTTTTAGTTCAAAGCAGACTCACTTGCGTAGAGAACAAAGGAAAACACGAAGAAATGCTAACATCACAATAGCTCTAGAAATTTGAATCTTCTCCGATTTAAGGTTAAACCTGTATTCCCTTAAGACCTAGAGTTTGAGCCTTCTGGAGATACATGCTTAGCCTCAAATTGGAGAAAATACAAATTTGTGGAGCTTTTGTAATGACAACATTTTTTCGTGCTTTCTTTTGTTTTTTGTGAGGTCTCTGCGCATGAGAGACTGCTGTAAACTGAAGCAGCGGTTGCTCGCTTTGAACGGGAAAAAGGCGTATTTGCTATCGGAGAACCCTGCTCCTGGGAGACTGGGAAAGAGTGAATTTCGAAAGAGGTCAAAGAGTTCCGGCTGTACGCAAGATAATCGGAGCTTAGACGGAAGAAATTGTCCGATTTCGCACGGGAGACGGAATTCCAAACATTATTTATCTTCAATCTCGTACCTTGAGCCTTCGCTTTCTTGGCCAGCGCCGAAAACGTAATATATTTGTCGACGGCGCTGTTACCCAAAAAACACGAAGGCTCAGGGTACGAGATTGATTTATTATCTTCCGAATCAATAATCGATTGTGAATCAATTTTATGATAATCGATAATTACTTTTCCTTAGACAATCGATAATCGATCGCCACTTTTCCATCACCATTCGACAATTATCAATCACAATATGTCAATAAATTTCTCACCCAACCGTTGTCATAGTAACAACTGCCCACCAAAATCCGTCCCAGGCTCCAGTCGCAAACTTAACCGTGAATTCCTGAGAACGAGCAACCTTTTCCTGAAAGACACATAACATAATGTTATCAAATAGTGCTGTTCCCAGGCTCTTCTGCTTTCGACGTCCCGAGGTGGGCAAAGGACCTGAGAGCGAGGAAGGTCACACTTACCAGCATCCAGACGACCAGTCCAGCTGTCATGGCAACGCCAAGAATAAACAATAAGAAAGGCCATGCTGAAAAGATTGTGTTTACAAGTAGGGATGTCTTCGTCGCTCTCGCTTCTATGTCATCGTATACAATCAACATAACGCGAGGGGCCTGGACAACGGGTACAAATGGCTTGTCCTTATATGTCTTGCTCTTCCACCTGATAGTACATTATAAAAAAAAAAGGATATAAGATAAAATAGGATATATGAAAATATGATTACACCGTTTTTTGTTCTCCAACACCGCAAAGAAATATTTATTCAGCGAAAAAGCATTTTCATT